GCCATATATATTGTGAGTCATTTTCCAAGTACAACTTAATTTTCCGTAATCTTTCTTTACCATTTTCGCGACATTCCCTCCGCTGAAAATCCCATTTTGTGGTTCAGGCGAGTAAATAGCGCTTGAAGTACATAATCGCCTACATAAGGGGCTCATATATGTATCCGCAATCGCAGCTATATATTGGGGGAAAAAATAAAGGAAAGCCCTAAATTGGCGCAGGCGCATTTCCATCGCTTTTTGCTGAGCTCCAATGGCACCGCCAGCAGTGGATATCCCCGCCACCCACTTGCCCCCTCGGCGAACGTCGATACTTGAGCCAGGCGAATGGCAGCACTCCGGTGGCAAACACACATCCTGCCGGCAGGATAATACCGAAGCTTCCCTAATCGGGCATTCGAGTTGGTTGGCTGGCCAGCAAGAAAGCAGCCAAGAACGCCTGCTTTTGTAAATACTTCTGTACATAGTAGGTTGCACCGATGGTTGGGCCGATGTCCTGGCTGCCGTCGAGTGTCGAGTGTATCCTTGAGCGCTCGAGTGGGTTGATAAGCCAGGCAGGACCACCCAAAAAATGAGGACGCCCGAGCCGAGCGGAAATGTCAAGTTGACGCTCTCGCCGGAAGTGCTCAGTGCTCGAAAACCCAAGAGCTGTGAGATAGAAAACAGGACAATGCCATCGCTGCCGGGACTCTGTATCCTTCTTTGGCATTACCCCGGCCCAGATGTGCTGCTAACTGACAAAAAAAGGGGGCTGTGATGCGTTTAATCAACAATAAAATCAGAAATCAAAAACTTAATGAATGTCCTTTTGTCATTACGCCGACAATGACACCAAAGTAGAGGGTTTTTCCTTTCGGGGGAAAGGGGATACTGCTGCTCCTGATTTTGCTGCTGCTGATGATGATGATGATGACTGGTGGGTGGATGCCCCACTCCGTTGCTGGGGAGACCGTTACGGCAGTCGTGTCCGTGATTCCCTGTCCGCATCCGTGTCCGCCGACGTGTCCGCTTTTTGCCGTTTTTGCCGTTTTTACCGTTTATGCGGCCCTGTCCCGGATGATGACTGCGATGATGTTGATGGGGCAATGACGGCAAAGAGCCCTCTTAGCGCGGCTGATGGCTCATGCCTGCCACATTCCGTAATAGCGGTAATTGGGAATGGCCAGAACTGGCCCACTGCCACTGCCACGCCCACTCCGCCAAGCGCCTAACTCCCCGCGAGCCGCCAAACGCTTAAAGTTGAATCACTTCCACACACGTTAGTGAAGCACGATGCTAAAATAAAACTTAGATGATGCTAAGGAGTAAAATCTAGAGGTTAGGTAAAAATAACTATCGATGTGTAAAGGCATTATTGCTTAGAGCTTAGTATTTCTGTTTTGTAAATTATCGTATACATTTTTTTGTCTATACATTATTTATTTTTATTCATCATAAATTTCGGAAACAATTAAAATAGTGTTTGTTGTAAACTGTAAAGGAGAACACGTGATGAAAAAAAAGAAGTCGTAAAGAATCAGGATCATTATGCGGTTTCTTCAAGGAGTTTATCTTCCGACTATTAGCCTCACCTATAAGTTCTTTGTTCTTAGTTCTTAGGAAGCATCTATAATTCAGTACAATTTCGACGGTGTAGGGGAGGCCCGTAAAAAGTAAAAAGTTCGTAACAAACTCTGGCACCCGCAAAACGCCAGCACCGGAGCTTTAATAGAATTATTGATTTTCCGCGTTCCGCGAGGAGACCTCCTGCCTTTTTCCCCACCTCGAAAATCTCGCACAGCATGTGTAGGTCTTTTTGGCCTGACGATGTCGCGTTCTTGCTTATTTAAATATTTTTCCGCACAAAATAGACGAAAGGGGGAGGTGGGGGCGTGAAGCAGGGAGTCGATGATGAGTTGGCTAACAGTAAATATAATTTACGTTTGAAGTATGGGTGGCCAGCCAGACACATGGGTGTATTTTGGGCCACTGAAAAATTTGCATCGTGTTTGATGGCCCAAAAGATGGCATCGAACCGGAAATTCGAGTGTGTTTGCTCAAGGGAAGAGAAACTCCTATAAACTTCCCTATTGAAAATAAGACACTTACACCAATACACTTTTTGTGAATCATTATTTCATATGCATTGCAATAATCTTAACTAGTAAACAATCAAACAATTTTAAGGCCAACATTATTCTGGCCAGAAAAGCTCCTATATTATATTTATACTAGCCTAATATTGATTTGATTTGTTGAAACTTCATCTTCAAATTTTATTTTGTTTTTGTTTGTTTTTTTTTTTTTATTTTTATTGCTAAAGATCCGAAAGTCAAACGGTTTATATTAAATGGAGTCGACGCATATGCGACATATATATTTATTTTAATTGGCCGTCCACAATCCTTTTTACAAAACCCTTGCCCTATTCAACTTTGTAGTTGTGATATTAACTTGACTTGTGCTGGGGAATTAATTAAGTTTCTGTATTCGGGAGCTAAAATTACATGCCACACAGAAATGTGTCTGTGTGGCAAATAAAAGGATGTTCCTTCTGTTTGTGTGTGTGTGTTTGTGAGTGGGGCTCCATCTAAAATGCTAAGAGCAGCAAAAGATTTTGAGCCCCAAAATTTGGTAAAGCTCCGCAAATAACGTCGACGTTGAAAAAGGGAAGTGCGGAAGAGGAAGAGGAGGGGGCGATAAAACCGCAGTCGGAAAAGAAAATAGGAACAGAAAAAAAAACAAGAAAAAGAACAAGATGAAGTCGCCGGGCAAAGCGGTTGCTTAGCCAATCAGCGAGCGGCGGGGGCGGAGTCTATCCCGAACTGGTTTGCCGGCGCTTTTTATGTTGATTTCGTGTTTTTCCTCTTTTTTCCGTATCTCGTTTTCTTTGGCGTTTTTCGCCTGCGTTTACGCTTTGCTCATCTCTCTTTGCTCTAATTTTTTCGATGGGTTATCTCGCTCTGGCACGATTCCATTGGAGCGACAGAGAGGGAGCGAGCCTCGTGTGGCTCTGTGTGTGTGTGAGAGAGCTGCCGAGCGAGCAAGAGAAAGAGAGAGCGCGCTTAAGAGGGAGAAAGGAAGAACTTGCGCATTGGGGAAGTGGGGAACAAGAATCGAGGGATAAAGATAACCAGATCAAAATTTGTATTATTAACAAAAATGGTTCAATAATTTTTAAACTTATTTTAATAAACAGAAGATTTACTATTTTAAACCAATGAATTTTAGTTGAATAAGCAGTAACCATCTTAGCTGTTGGAATTTTATAACACAGCGGATATCAGATCCTTAACTAATTATAAAACCCAGTGTAACTCCTCCCATATGATCCCATTTTTTGTAAACAGTGCTTCCCCCTACTAGAACTGTATATAGAAATCCTATTTACCATTTACTTGCTTGGACGTGGTTGGCTAAATCCTGGAGCCCGGACACCTAATCACATGTAATGCGCGCGCATTATCTGCGCTCTTATCTCTTGTTTTCCGGGGGAACCACCCATTCCTCCAATTCCCCGTCCTTCCTTTTTGGGGAAATCCGCTTCGTGGCCTGAAACTCACGAACCCAAAAAACGAAGGCCGTCGCCATTCACAGTTGACGGAGGTGCTAACTGCCGAGTGGGTGTAGCCACCCGTCCACCACCCCCGCCCCCGCGGCCGACCCGCCACCCACCGAGAGGAATAAGCACTGCCGATTTACTCTTTCATCCCGAATACCCGAACCGATTGCCGCACTGCTCGCACTCGCGCTGACTAAGCTCACGCCCACGCCCACTCTACATGGTGTAGGTTTGTGTTTGTGTACAAGTGCCTGTCTATGTGTGTGTGGCATAATTCCACCCGAATTTGCAGCAAATCCATCGAGTTTCGCCACAGCGCACAAAAAATAAAAGAAAACGCGCAGCCGAATGAGGAAGTGTTGGTTGGAGGGGGGAGTGTTGGCAAGGGGAAGGGGGAGGTCGGGGGTGGGGCGAAGGCAGCGGCGACGACAAGTGCAATTCTGCGCCGAAACAGGTTTACCCGCTGTTTACGTGCGACTGTGCTAGTGTATGTGTGAGTGAGAGTCGCTCTCCAGCTCTCTCCGAGTGCTACGCTCTTTCCTTTCTCTGCCCCTGTGCGTGTGCTTTGTTTTGGTCACTCACCAACGCACACTTACAAAGCTGTTTGTTTGCCTCACTCACCAGAAAGGCATTTCGGAGTATTTCTACTACTTTTTGGGATTTCGTCTTCATGAGTCTAAAATTTTAACAAATTTGTACAATATATAAAAGATATAAGTTATGCGAAACAAAGTTTAGGGACGCACGAACCAAATATATAAATTGATATTTATATTTTACGTATGGAAACATTTCTTTAAGAAATCATGCCTCTAAAATCACCATTAATTTTTCTGCTTTTCGATGTTTTAGAAGGAAGAACATTTCACTGGGTTAAAAGTCTTTTGATTAGGTTCTTAAGGTACGCATCGTAATAGTTTGAAATTATCCTTTGAAATTACAGACATTTTCTAGAATGAACAAAGTTTCCATTGAAAACGGTTAGCTTTCCACATTGTATTTAAAATTAAATATTTATATGTTTATTGCAATTATTATATTAAATTAATTTTATAATACAGTTATTTGTCTCCTTAAATAAAATATATGTTTTCAACATAGTCCTTTAATAGCTTATTAGATAAGTTACTCATCCAACCTATAACTTTACTACCTTTTAAACGCTTACTACTATTTTACGGGCTCTCTGCTCTGACTAACACACTGATAACGAAGCCGAGAGAGGCTCTTTGCCTCACACCAGTGCACACGAATTGGCGGCAAATGGAGCCACGCGAGAGAGCCGACCTGCCGAAACATGGGGGCTTGGGGGTGGGCTGCGGCCGGGGCGAGAGCGAGACCGAAGAGCGAAAGAGACCGAGGACCGGCACCGGCAACATTGACTGCGACGTCGGCAGCGTCGGCGGCAGAGGCAAGCGAACGGCAAAAGAATGCCGTCAGTTGTTAGTTGTGCGACAGCTTTGGCCCAGAGAGGATGTCTTGACGCGCGTCCGCTCACCACCACACACACTTGCGAAGAGAGTCCCTAGAGAGAGCCGAGCCAGATCAGTCCAGCCCAGAGTCCAAGGACTCCGCTCCGCAGGCCAAGAACACTACAAAACCAACAAACAGAAAACAGAAAGCGTTGGCCAAGAACCTAGAACCTGAACGCTTCGCTGGATTTGCAACTGACGAATTCGACACGCCGCCAATCCTGGTGACGCAGCGACGCGATCAGCTCCCGATTTCATGGCACTAATGATGTCGCGTCGCCCACAACAAAAAAACAACTACCGCAACAACAACAAAAGCAGAAACAGCAAAATCCACAAGCGTCATCGAGTCCGTTCCACAAGGAAACTCGCGTTTCACCTGAGCGTGTGTGCGGTTTCGCGTGTGTGTGTGCCTGTGTCTAATTTGCGTATCCACTAGAGAAAATTCGAAAATTAAAAGAATTCAATATCAAATCGAGTAAAATATCCCCCCGCCGAGTTACGGGAGCTCCCCTTATCGCGTTCACAAATTGCAATCAAAACAAATCACTGCGAACCATCCAAATTGCAATTAATGCCAAAGCGCCTGCATTTCGACCATAAAAGACGTACGTGAACTGTGGTCAGTGGTCAGTGATTAGAACTTTGTAACGCCAGCGATATGGACTTCCAGAGCGCCATGGAGACCTTTGCCGAGGCTTGGGTGGCCGCCAATGCCGGCCAGCAGGTGAGTTTCCCCCGGGAAAGCCTTTCTCCCCAGAGTTTCCCCAGTTTCCCAAGATTTCATCACCAAGTTAAGAGATCGCTTTGCCGGCGGCACTTCACACCTATTAGTCGGATCACTTAGCTTTTCCCCCCTTTCGATTACCGCTCCGCTGCAAAATGAATCAGTTCAAAGCAAACAAATCGGCCGAGCGACATATGGTTAGGAAAAGTGATAACGCCCGTGTAGATATGCGCTCGTTTCGCTATTTATGCAGATTAAGATAATCCTTATCGGCTGAGATTTTCGAGATCGGTACAAGAGATAAGCCCCTCGCAGTGTTTATCTTCGCCTACGCTTTGTTTGGCCCACTAATTGCATTGTAAGCCCGATCCCCAAACTCCACTCTTTATTTTCCCCCCGATTCCGAAGAGCAGAATACCTAAAAAAAACTGGGTGAGTTCGGTTCTCGGAGAGCTTTTCGACCCGCCAGATAAGATAATCCCGACGGTAACTTTGACAAATGCCTGGTAATTTCGGCATAAGGCGATGACGGTACTTAGATATCGATGGGGCTAACGGGTCGGGGGGTAATCACCCCATTGAACATGCTCCCCACCAACTTTTGCCATCGCGTCATCGTTGTGCGCCGCCTTTTTTATCGGAAACCCAGCGCCCCTGTCACTGATATCGCAATTAATCCAAATAAGTGCGATAAAATTGATTATGAACATGCTGGCGTGATTAGTCCAACTGCCCCCTTATAAAGGGGGAAAGCGGGGGAGGGGGTGTGGATCACTCATACACATGTCCAGATATCTGGGTGTGCGTTTATTGGCAGACATAATTGATTATGTTGTGTGAGTGTAATTATTATTTATCTGGCTCCGAGCTCCGACTTCTGCCTTTGATATCGCCTTCAAATCGGTTACCCAAACCAGCCGAAAACGGGCAAGGGTGACTAATCCAAGAATTTATGGATCTTATTTCCATTCGATTTCGAAAACGCAACGTCTATGTTGTATATTAGGCAAATCTCAATCTGGCGGAGAGCTGGTGGCCAGTGGCTCCCCGCCACCGCCATTGTCTTTTGGCCGAAATCAAGCCTTAAGAATTATTGTACAGGCCAAATCGAAAATATCTCGAAAACAAACAACTCAAAGCCGCTGGCAGGCCAGTAATTTCGAATACTCTTGCCACTGGGAATAGCGGCCTTCTAATCACAAGTTCACGGCTTTCCAAACAATGATTCAGATTACGATCCATAAAAGTATAACATAAAGCCATGAGTTACTCTGAGCCGAGAAATGAAATCTTGCCAAACGGATCCTTTGGGATTATTTATATTTCAAATGGCTCCAATTGGGATTGCTGGTTGCACGTTCCTTTCTTGTGACTTTGTTAAAAATAAAAAGTATTTTAATTTGTTTTATAAAGATAAGAAAATGTTTTGGTATAACTAACAATTTCTACATTTATTTTCCATTTTATTATTTGAAAATTTACTATACTTCATATTGTATTCTTATAAGATCATAGTCTTCCTGCTTAATTCCAAATCTAGAGAATTAAAAACTTCGACTTAATTCCGCTTCGTTTCATCTAGTTTGTTGTTGTTTCTGCTTTTTGACAGTTTTATGTGTCGACGCATATGCTTAGTGAATGGGATTAAGATAAGACGGCGTAAGTTGGTCGGGAGGCGTCCTCCGCTGGCTGGGCCAGATAATAAACCAGTATGGCCAGAATGGGTATAAATAAATGAGAATGAGAATTCTTTCAAAACCATAACAAATCATTTTCAATAGCGAATGTGCCGGCGATTGTGTGCGTTTGAGTTTTTTGGGCTTGCAAACTAATTATAAAGCATTTAGCTTTATTGTTGTGATAATTTTTTCGGGGTTTTCTTCGGGGGAAAAAGTATCGAAATCGAGCGCGGGGAATAGATAATGCCGAGCGGGTATCGGTATCTTCGCACCCGGTTAGATCACCTAGCCCCCTTTTGGCAGCCAGATAGGCCGTCTTATAAATTATAAATGGTTCGATTTTGTCTAATCTGAAAGTGTTAGGAGGGGCGAGAGGTGGGAAGGCCGAGGCATTACCAGTCAGATAATGGAATATTTATTAATTGAAATCTTCTTCTCCGCCGCTGCTGCTTCCTGCTCACCATCGGATTGTCATTTCCTTTTTCGATGGTTTTCCCCAGCGATCCGAGCGACCAAGACTAATGATAATCGGAGTTAATCTGGTTGCGCATCGAATCGGAGGTTCCAATCAAATGCATTCTTTGGGGTATCCCACGTTTTCGGCTTTCGGTGTTCGGATTCGTTAAATTCCGGTAGTCAAATGTCCATTAAATGCCGCTCATAAATGTCCAAACTGTTTGTCATCTTTGTGGTGCGACCTCCTCCTTCTCACTTCTCACTTTTTTCCAACCGACTTCTGAATTCCGACTTGTGGCTTTCTTTTCTTCCTTTCGTCTAGCAGCTCTTTCAATTCTTTATTTTTTTTTTTTTTTTGGGCCCTCCGTATTTATCAGGGCTTAGTCCCCACATTTTTCCTGATCTCTTTAGCCTCTGCTGCTACTGCCACAGCCACTGGCTTTGCCACTTGATTGTAACACATTTTTAGCATTTCATTCGACGCTTTCTCACTCCGCCGCTCCGGCGATCTGTCAGTCGAGCGGCTTTGGTGGCTTTTTCCGTCCGATTATGCGCCTTCGCCGAGTTCGCGTTCAAGCGACTCACCGCCTTTATATACCCAATATACAATATATATAAACGTATTTATTAATTATTCAAAGCCGATTGGATTATAATAATTTATAATGATTATTATCATAAGTCGCCGGTTGAGGCCACTCAGCTCCGGATTGAGTCGCGTTTTTCGCTTCCAGATTTCGCCGCCCGTTCGCTTCAATCAAACTAAAAGCGGCGACATTTCGCAGATAGTGATTACTCGGTTAGCAAGTGGCAGGAGAATCAAACAGCGAAAACGCTTTAAGTTAATTACACGATGTCAAATTGTCGGCGGGGGTCTCTTCTTCATTCTCCATTCTTCATTATTATTATTTTTTGGCACTTGCAGAGCGCTCCTAAATCAATTCCTCACTATTTTGTGATCGGTTTTGAGGTGTTCATGTTTCGATTTCGATTTCGTCTTGGGCTTCGGTTTCTGGGTATTGGTGCTGGTATTTCTGCTCCCCAATTCGAAATCGCTTTCAAAGGCGCCGCCAAAAGAGCTCTCTCCTCGTCTGCAGCTCCTCAGCTCAGATAATCAACAAAACGTGTTCGACTTGTCGAGGTTTTCCTTTCTGCACTTATCATAGAACACCTTTTGGTTTTGTTGTTTCGCAGCTAATGACACCTTGATAAAACGATTTGTAAGACATTGCGATAAAAGCGGTTCAGGCTTTGTAGCTTAAGGCGAACCGAAAGCTGATAAAAATACAAGCCGAAATACAAAAAAAAAAAGACGGAAAAGTTCGAATGATAATAACAACTTTTGGGTAATTAATTTGTGGGTGGGGAACTGGAGGGGAGGAGCCCTCCGTCCGTCCATCCAGATTGTGGATACCTATGTCTGATGGCATTTGCCTTGGGCATTTGTCATTCAGCTTAATCGGAATGCACGGACTGTGACAAAACACGAAGAAAAGAATCGAATTTTGTACGATTTACGCGTTTCGAAAGTCATCTCCTCCGAGTTGCGCCTCCCCCATTGTCACCTTTTTCATTCTTAATTAGTGGATTTAGCTTGTTCCCCATAGATATACGATATAGACTGCCCGATATTCAGCCCCTCCGCAACTATTTTTATATATATTATACTATTATGGGGCCAGCCAAATCCGTGTTCCATAAATTTCCCAATGTTTTGAAAATTATGACAAGTGGGTTGCAGACAAGTGGATCTGAAATGAATATCTGACAGGGAGACTCATATATATATCTGTCTTTCTATATATAGGCATTTTTGTATTATAAACTTTGGTTCTGATCACGATGACATTGTGGGGCTTACATGAAGGTATTTTCGTTGCCGGAGATTTATTATATTTATCACTAATACGCCCCGTTGAAAATCATAAGCCGCAACAGCAGCCACTGTTGATTTCTACAAGTCACAGCGACAATCGGCTTGCGAGCATATTTCTTCTTGGTCGAGAGTCAAAGAGCCAAACAGCGAAAGAGCCAAAGAGCCAACAAAATGTCGGTAACCTCGTCTTATTTAAAGTATTAACTGCTAACTAATGTGCGACACATTATAAAAGAGCGCGGGATGGCTGGGGAATCGAGTCGGGTATCGATGCCGCCGATGCCGCGATACCAAACAGGTGATCGCTGCTGGCCAAGTGAGTAAGCGAGTAAGCGGCGATCATGCCAAGCATCGACAAAAGGGATTATATTTCCTAAGCGCTCCCAACAAAATGTGTGTCCGAAAAGCTGGAGCGGACTGGAAGTCGGAGCGTTTTTAATGCCCCACCACCACCGATCGACGATCGACGATCGCTGAGCTGCTTAACTAAATCCGGCTTAAGAGCCAACACACGAAATTAATGTCGTTGAAAAACACAGCAAAAGTCACACATTAACAGCGAGGCAGCTCGCAACTCGCAGCTCGTTGTTCGTTCCCCAGGAAGTGGCAATCCGCCCCTTCTTCTCGAGACTCAAGACTCGAGACTGGAGACTCGAGACTCTGTGCAAGACTCCAATGCTCTTCTGATGGCTAATGGTTAATGGCCAGAGGAAATGCCCGGTGTGTGTGGACATCTTACAGGGGATTAGTTTGAATTTGCAGTGCAAAGCGGAATGCAAAGAGGAAAAATAAGCCACTTGCCAGCCGCCAATCGCTGATTCAAATTACCAGCGATTTATCGACGATCGCCGATGGTCGATCGACTACCGTGATCAACTAACTAATCCACTTATCAGTGCGTCATCTGGAAACCCCTTATTTTCCTTCCTCCGATCGATCGGAAATCGAGCCACATATTCGCATTCATAGTTTTAATCGGCGTCGTAAAG